TTTCATTGAGAGGAATCAGCAAAGAAAAGAAAAACTGGTCTTCATTCATGTGTATTTCAGAGATTGTCCTCGGGCTGAGGAGTGTCCACATGAGTTCGTTGAGGTGTCTACACGCCTGCGGCCCTCTTTTAGATTCTGTCGAGAGTTCGGATTGCTCCACCTAAGTAGAACGAAAAGGAGGAATTGGAAATGAAAAAGGGGGAGCCAGAACAGAAGCTTCGCTTCCGGTAGCTTGCTGACTCTCTCTGAAGATGTTCGGAAAAGCATTGAATTCACTGTCTTTCTTTTGGCTTTTGGCGGACCTCTCTGGAGCGAACGAAGTCAATCTCCCGGGATTTTGCTAATTTCTGGATTCTACCGACTGCCAGTAACGGTTCAGTTTGAATGAGCTCTCCCTCCATGAACATAGGCAGTTTCGCCCTAAGCTGCTTTCTATTATGCTTGATCCTACAGCTTGCTGCTGTTTCGTACCGTTCCTCTTGAGCACTCTAGTTTCCATTCGAGCTTCTACATCTTTTTATTGGAAAAAGAGTTGGATGTACTCTATTGCTTGGTCAGCATGCCTGCGCCTACGTCGGTTGGATGTGAAGCTATGCCCCTACCCCTACTATCCCAGACTGTTGGACGGGGCTCCCTAACAACGCAACACCCCCCAGGGGGCTCCGGCAATGACCCGGCCCTTAAAGAAGATTTGTCCCTTTTGAATCTCGCCGTCGATCCTTTCTTCGCGAGCGGGCTGACCGGAGAACGGTCAAACTCTGAGAATCAAGTCACATTTTTTTTGATCCGGTTTAGACACCCGTCAAAATTGTTGAGTGATAGCTCGGAGAAAAAGCACAGGTATAGCAAGCTAACCTGGTAGTACATGAGCGTTGATGAGCTGTTGGTTTACCAACTCCTTTCTGATGTCTGTTGGTACCAATTCTCCTTTCATGTATGACACTGGTACAATGGGAAGAACCAGTCAGAGCTTCTAATCGGATAACGCATAGGGTTGTTGGAATACAACCTTCACAGCCCGGGCCATTGGTTTGTTAACGAAAGGCTCGCCTCTTAGCCTGTTCAACAACACCGTGTCATTGGCATCATTGTTCAGCCCAGGAAGTTTTTTGTGCTAACCTGATGCACCCGAACTCCTGGGTATATGGAAAGACAGTGAAGACGTGGTGTTAGCCCTCTTTGTAGGCTCATGCTAATTTCTTCTTTGGGTCCTTCGTGTCTCTGGATGTCAGGGTCCATCTAATGCTCGACCTGTTGATGGGATGGTGTATCCACGCGTTACTTGTTATCTCAAGTCCGGCTGTGCTCCTTGTGAGTGAGCAGCCGTTGTTATCTAGTTTCACTTCTTTTTTTCTTTTTCTTCTTCTTAGTCTAAAGAGTTGAACCTACGGGTTTTTCCAATTTTCCACCCATTTTGCGGTGTGCCAGGATAGGTCTTCGGAGTATTAAGACCAGGTCGCCGACTTGAAATGTCCTTGGACGAACCAACTTGTCGCGGGCCCGTATCATCTTTGCCTGATACAGCTCCAGATTTTGTTGAGCTTGTAGGCGCTTACCCTCCAAACTGTCAAGTTCTTCGAGTCGCAGCCTTGCATTTTCTTCTTCGGTTATTTTGTCGGTAATTGCTATTCTGAGAGAGGGAAGTTGTACCTCGAGCGGAAGTACGGCTTCGGACCCGTACACCAGAGCAAACGGTGTCGACCGTGTCGGTGTTCGGTATGTGGTACGGTAAGCCCACAAAGCTTCTGTCAATTGTTCGTGCCAGTGTCTCGTATTACTGGTTAATGTCTTTTTCAAAATCTGAACCAGAGTTTTGTTGAAGGCTTCGGCCAGACCATTAGCTTTAGGGTAATAGATTGTTGAGTATCTCCAATCTATTCCGTGTCTTCGAACGAAGTTGTTTCTCTTTGTATTTTTGAAAGCTGTCCCGTTGTCCGAGATTCTTCTTCGAGGAACTCCAAATCTGTAAACAACTTGTGTCTTGAAAAATTGGAGGACCTGATTTGCTGTAACTTCCCGAAGCGGCACTGCCTCCGCCCATTTGGAGAAGTAATCTG